GGGGGGGGGGGGGGAGGAGGAACAAGGGCACAGCAGGCTCAGGGGATGGGGCGGGAAGGGTGGAGTGGGGGCAGGGCCTGTGGCAGAGCCAGAGGTTGAGCAGTGAGCAGCCCCTGGCACATTGGAAAGTTGGCATCTGTAGCTCCAGCCCCCAAGTCAGTGCCTATAAAAGGAGCCGCACATTAACTTCTGAAGAGCTGCACGTGGCTCCGGAGCCACAGGTTGGCCACCCTGATCTATTCCATCATTGCTACAAACTTGATATAAGGACTTGGAATTATTTGTATGTATGTGATCTATTAACCATTTATAACTCTCTTCTTTTATTATTAAATCTTTAGTTTGTTTACTAAAGATTGGCTGACAGCATGGTATTTGAGTGAGATTCATATTGACCTGGAGGTATGTGTCTGATCCTTTGGGATTAGAAAGAACCTCACATATAATGAAATGGGTTTTCAGTAACCCCTCACTGTATTAGACTTGGTTGTCTGGATGGGAGCCAAGGGCTGGAATGTTTACAGGGGATTCTGTTTGGCTTCTGGTTAACCAGTGTGGTATTACAAAAGCTGTTTTGTTACTGGTTTGATTAATCTAATTACAGAATAAACCACCAGTTTGGGGAATAGTCTGCTCCTGTTCCTTGCAGTCTGCCCTGCATGTAGCATTCTCAGTGTGGCCCTTCCAGGAACCCGGGCACAGTCGCCACTTTAACAAACATTTAAAATGGAAAATATTGAGAGAAAATATTCATGAAATTGGCAGATGTTTTACAAAAATAGGAGCATTTTGAACCAAATTACTTTGCATCCAAAGCATGTACACTTCTGTATTTTTTAAAATAAAGAAATGGCCATTTATGCTGGAATTTTGTAAATGTTTGTAGATGCAAAACAAAAATGTAAAAAAGTACAAATCACAGTGAAACATGAAATTTCACAAAAAATGCTTTCCTCAGTTTCACATGGCCCCTTCACCTGAGCAATGGTGTGTTGTAATGCATGTCCAGATCCAGTTACATAGATTTAGCAAATTTCTTGAAGGAGTGGCACCTGCAGTACATATCCTATGTATGGTTAGTGCTTGGAGAGTTCTTGTTGAAGTATTTTCTTGCCTCAACATTGCTGAGGGACACAGAGCAGCGGGATGGATTCTGTCTTCTGTATTCAATGCTTTCCACTATTGCTTGCTTCATCACCTGTAAAACAGAGTCAAAGTTCAGGGCAAAGAATTGACACTGAAGGTGGTTCTTTAACTGATGGCAAAAAGCCATATCAGCTTGTACAACTGTTGCTCTTAATACCAGAAGCAAGCCAGTATTGCTTAGAAGAAAGGGCTTTAAAAACAAATAAACAGACCATATGTTGAAATTTTTGAAAAAAAGAACATCGTTCCTTCCCCCCACACACATACCTCCCCCAAGAAGAATCCTAACTACTTCTCAATCTCTTATGGTCAATCACTAGTTTGTTGGTTTTTTTAAATAGTAACCTCTGATAAAATATAGGTGACAACTGGAAGACTGGAGAATTTTGAAATGGAAGGCTGTATAATATGGTAGCTTATTATGAATTATGATTTATCCTAATACAGTCCTTTTATCATGGTAGCATCAACAATGTGCACTAAAAGACCTGACAAATAAACACTGGGGAAGTGTCTTATTTTGGGGCTCTATCCTGATAACTGACAATGAAAGAAGTTAGTGTGTCCTGAGTATAAAGTGAGGAACTATTTTGCCACAGTTTAATTCCTAGGTCATCCTGCCTTTACCCTCATTTTGGTCACACTAAAAGTCCCATAAGCCTTTGGTCCACGCAATGTGTCTACCCTTTGATCAAAAATACAACAATAAACCTAATGGCTGTGAGGACTTAACAGGGCCCACTAGTCAACGGAGGAATAGCCAGGATTGTCAGGAAAGAACCATAAAGTGGTGGCAGATTGCCCATCTCAATTTAAAAAGCAAATGAATGTCCATTTAAAGAGGTCATCTGCCAGGATATGCAAGAGTCTGGGGAGGCAAAAAGGTCAGGGTTTTTTTTCCCCTCTATAAATCACTGCAAACTCAAATATTCACTCTGCCAAAAAGGGAAGAGCACAAGAGCAGCAGCAGCAGCAGCTAAAAAAAGAGAGAAAGCTAAAATCATCTACTTTGGCTTGATTTCATACTCCATGGATCATCTAAAGAGAATGTCTGCACTACTACCTGAATTAGTTGAAGAACCTCATGAATTAGTCATGTAAACTTTTCTCATCTGCTGTTTCAATTCTGCTATGTAGACAATCTTGTTATGAAATAATGTTCCGTGCCTGCTATAGAAAATTATACAGCACAAAAGAGGAAGACTGTCTTTAAAAAATGTCTATGTTAAAAATCCTAATTCTTTGATGTTGAAAGTAGAAGGCAATATAGCCACTAGGTGGCATATTTTGATCATGTACTTATTACAAAGATCTGAAACTTGCAGCAGAAAAAATTTACAACTGTTGAGTGAAATCACTAGAACAAAAATATACTTGGGCCCTGATTCTGATCTTGTTTAAAGTAATGTAAATCAGGTGTAATGACTGAAGTAAATGGAGTTACACTGCAGTATATGAAATCAGAATTTGGTCCATATCTGATTTTGGGGTGTAAATCAAACTCTACAAGAATATTCAGATTTAATGGTAACATTAAATCATTAATATGACTTCTAACTGTTTTAAATTTTACTTTTATTTCCTTAGCTCAGACTTAAAAGCATTTAGTGATTACAGTTTCAGCAGAACAAATCAGTCTCTAGCAGACTGATTCTGAGCTCATTTACCAAAGAATTATTTAAGAATTATATATCTTATATAGCAACTTTCATCCATAGAACTCAGACCACTTTACAAAAATGGCAAATGTCATTATCCCCATTTTCAGATGAGGAAACAGAACCACAGAGTGGTGAAATCACTTGTTCAAAGTCACACAGCAAAGTAAGTAGCAGAGCTCAGAATACATCTCATAGATTAAGGACAGAAGGGACCTTTTAAAGGTTGTATTTTAAAGAATCCTTATTGCGCTTGCAGGAACAAACCATCCCAATGTGTAGAAAGAATAGTAAATATGGCAGGCGACCAGCTTGGCTAAACAGTGAAATCCTTGCTGATCTTAAACGCAAAAAAGAAGCTTACAAGAAGTGGAAGATTGGACAAATGACCAGGGAGGAGTATAAAACTATTGCTCAGGCATGCAGGAATGAAATCAGGAAGGCCAAATCACACTTGGAGTTGCAGCTAGCAAGAGATGTTAAGAGTAATAAGAAGGGTTTCTTCAGGTATGTTAGCAACAAGAAGAAAGTCAAGGAAAGTGTGGGCCCCTTACTGAATGAGGGAGGCAACCTAGTGACCGAGGATGTGGAAAAAGCTAATGTACTCAATGCTTTTTTTGCCTCTGTCTTCACGAACAAGGTCAGCTCCCAGACTGCTGCACTGGGCAGCACAATATGGGGAGAAGGTGACCAGCCCTATGTGGAGAAAGAAGTGGTTCGGGACTATTTAGAAAAACTGGATGTGCACAAGTCCATGGGGCCGGATGCGCTGCATCCGAGGGTGCTAAAGGAGTTGGCGGATGAGATTGCAGAGCCATTAGCCATTATTTTTGAAAACTCATGGCGATCGGGGGAGGTCCCGGATGACTGGAAAAAGGCTAATGTAGTGCCCATCTTTAAAAAAGGGAAGAACGAGGATCCGGGGAACTACAGGCCAGTCAGCCTCACCTCAGTCCCTGGAAAAATCATGGAACAGGTCCTCAAGGAATCAATTATGAAACACTTAGAGGAGAGGAAAGTGATCAGGAACAGTCAGCATGGATTCACCAAGGGGAAGTCGTGCCTGACTAACCTAATTGCCTTCTATGATGAGATAACTGGGTCTGTGGATGAGGGGAAAGCAGTGGATGTGTTATTCCTTGACTTTAGCAAAGCTTTTGATACGGTCTCCCACAGTATTCTTGCCGCCAAGTTAAAGAAGTATGGGCTGGATGAATGGACTGTAAGGTGGATAGAAAGCTGGCTAGATCGTCGGGCTCAACGGGTAGTGATCAATGGCTCCATGTCTAGTTGGCAGCCGGTTTCAAGCGGAGTGCCCCAAGGGTCGGTCCTGGGGCCGGTTTTGTTTAATATCTTTATTAATGATCTGGAGGATGGTGTGGACTGCACTCTCAGCAAGTTTGCAGATGACACTAAACTAGGAGGCGTGGTAGATACACTAGAGGGTAGGGATCGGATACAGAGGGACCTAGACAAATTAGAGGATTGGGCCAAAAAAAACCTGATGAGGTTCAACAAGGACAAGTGCAGAGTCCTGCACTTAGGACGGAAGAATCCCATGCACTGCTACAGACTAGGGACCGAATGGCTAGGTAGCAGTTCTGCAGAAAAGGACCTAGGGGTCACAGTGGACGAGAAGCTGGATATGAGTCAACAGTGTGCTCTTGTTGCCAAGAAGGCTAACCGCATTTTGGGCTGTATAAGTAGGGGCATTGCCAGCAGATCGAGGGACGTGATCGTTCCCCTTTATTCGACATTGGTGAGGCCTCATCTGGAATACTGTGTCCAGTTTTGGGCCCCACACTACAAGAAGGATGTGGAAAAATTGGAAAGAGTCCAGCGGAGGGCAACAAAAATGATTAGGGGTCTGGAGCACATGACTTATGAGGAGAGGCTGAGGGAACTGGGATTGTTTAGTCTCCAGAAGAGAAGAATGAGGGGGGATTTGATAGCAGCCTTCAACTACCTGAAGGGGGGTTCCAAAGAGGATGGAGCTCGGCTGTTCTCAGTGGTGGCAGATGACAGAACAAGGAGCAATGGTCTCAAGTTGCAGTGGGGGAGGTCCAGGTTGGATATTAGGAAACACTATTTCACTAGGAGGGTGGTGAAGCACTGGAATGCGTTACCTAGGGAGGTGGTGGAGTTTCCTTCCTTGGAGGTTTTTAAGGCCCGGCTTGACAAAGCCCTGGCTGGGATGATTTAGTTGGGAATTGGTCCTGCTTTGAGCAGGGGGTTGGACTAGATGACCTCTTGAGGTCCCTTCCATCCCTGATATTCTATGATTCTATGACCATCATGATCATTTAGTCTGACCTCCTGCACATTGCAGGCCACAGAACCTCGCCCACACACTCCTTTAATATACCCATAACCTCTGGCTGAGTTACTGAAGTCCCCAAATCATGATTTAAAGACTTCAAATTAGAGAGAAATCACCATTTACTTTGGTTTAAACCAGCAAGTAACTCGTGCCCCAAGCTGCAGAGGAAGGCAAAAAACCCTCAAGGCCTCTGCCAATCTGACCTGGGGGAAAATTCCTTCCAGACCCCAAACATGGCAGTCAGTTGGACCCTGAGCATTTCGGCAAGACCCAACAGTCATACACCTATAGAATTCTCTGTAGTAGCTCGGAGCCCTCCCCATCTAGTGTCCCATTACTGGCCATTGGAGATATTTGGTGCTAGCAGTCACAAATCAGCTACATGCCATTGCAGGTAGTCTCATCATACAATCCTCTCCATAAATTTATCAAGCTCAGTCTTGAAGCCAATTAGTTTTTTTGCCCTCACTGCTCCCTTGGAAGGCTGTTCCAGAACTTCACTCCTATTCCCCTAGGTCACTGAACCAAATGGCTTCACCTGGTTACCTGGGAGGAGCTCAGATATTGCAATAATGGAACAGTGAAAACAAAAAACAGATTAGATTAGAATATTAACCCAAATTGGAATGAACCCTGAACAAGCACAGGAACTCAGACATGAAAAGCATTATAGATTTCGTTACACTCTATCCAATTCTTCTGTTATGGCAGGAAACTACCAGTACATTAAAATAATCTTCATACACATATAAAATGAAATGCAGAACTACAAAACAGGGAATAACTGGCTAGGTAGTAATGCTGCTTAAAAGGATCTGGGGATTATAAACTCTGGAATAGGCTTCCAAGAGAGGCTGTGGAATCCCTGTCAGTAGAGGTTTTTAAGAACAGGTTGGACAAACACCTGTCAGGGATGGTCTAGGCCTCAGCACAGGGGGTGGACTTGATACCCTCTCAAGATCCTTTCCAACCCTATATTTCTATGGTTCTATAGCTCCTGAGACATTCTTTAGCTGTTTCTTTTTAATGGAAAATATCTCTGTTATCTCAGCAGCATGATTACCTTGGAGCTTACACAGTTACAAGAAGAGATCATCATGTATGACTGTATTTACTGCAGCTCTGGAATTCCAGACTTTAAGACCAGATGCCAAAAGAAAGGGCAAAATTCTCCTCTCTGAATCTCACTGCCCATCTCATCCATCTCCTTCCCCATTTTATACAGGACCCCATCAGTATAGTATCTGAGCAGTTAAAATAGAAACAGCTACTTCTTTTCTCCCTCCCTTCCCAGTCTGCAGGGGAAATAACTCCACCAGTTCACAGTTTTTGTGTACATTGCATGGAAGCATAAGTTCATAAAGAACTTATCCAGAAAAGCTTAATTGAACATTTTTCATTTAGGGCCTTACCCAACTCCCATTACGATCAATGTCAGTCTTTCCATTGACTTTAATGGGATGTGAGCCAACCCTTAAAATTTGAAAATGTTGAGGTCAATTCCCTGATCTTGGTCCAGCTGCTTCAGAGTTCAAGTGAAATGAAGCATCCTGGTTGTGAAGGGTCCAGGGTGATCTCTCAGTGAACTAGGACCAAATCCCATGCAGGTGCTTTGAATATCAAGACAGAGATACCAGTCTGTATTCACTGGGGAGCCAGTACAGAAGGGAGCACTGATTGAAGTGTTACAGTGAGTCCAGAGTTGCTAGGCAGACGGGATGCTAGTTGTTTACTCACTGGAGCTTTTTCAGTGTGTGGCTTGCCACAAACATCATGTATTGCAATAAACAAGTTTGGAAGTAAAAATAAATGGATCACCAAGGCCTTGGATAGGTTTGTGTCTGGTACTAATGAATACAATCAGCCGCACATGTAAATTGGCATTTTTTGTCATCATGGCCATTCAGTCTCTTTCCAGAACCAAGACGCCATTAATAATGGGAGCCATAATGGAGAAGACAAGCTGTCCCCTCCCTCTCCTACCAACGTCACTTGGTCTTGTCAGTTGCCTTCATCAAGGTGCTGATTTGGCCAGTCACTGAGAAAGCTGGGAGATGGTGCTATTTATCTTCCCTGTTATAGGTAGTGTTCTACATTCAAATTGGTCTGTAGAGCTTCCATTGAGATCAATGGGATTCTGCACACAAATCAAGGGCAGTATAGGATCCTTAAAGGTTAACTGGCTTTGTTTTTTGAAAGTGAACTTTTCCATCTTACTAGTTGGGCTGTGCTTCCTTTGTGAATTGTGTAAAAAAGATTAATGCAAAACAGCATAGCTAACTGCATATAAAAATACGTTTTTGTGCAAGTTTGCACTTTTCCGCACACAGGCAGAAAAAAAAAATCGAAGATTTTTAGCCAGTAAATTTAGGGGGTTATTCTCATCTCTAGTTAATCCCATCGCTAAGTGGACTCCCGAAAGCACCTCTGAACTGGTGTAAATCAGACATTTTTACACTGTACTTACGTCTAAGTTATTCAGAGTGTTAAATTCCATTAGATCATGAAGCCTTTTGAAAGCTTCATTGGAATATTGGAAGTTGAAGGTAGAGAACGGAGTATTAGGATCATCAAAAATATCGAAGTCAGCAAAGTCCTTCTCTCTCTGAGTTTCTCTTGGAACACCTATAGAGACAACAAAAAACAGAGACAATATTTTATCATTTTGAAAAAATAAAAGGGAAAGTTTTAAGAGATGAAGTATAAATTATATAACAATAACTTGCTTTTATATGGGGCTCTGGAAATTCATGGCAATTATGGAAAGATTTCTAGATATTTCTGATACATTGTAATACTTTTTAACAACTGATATATTAATTTATTGTTTCCAGGAACACCAAATTTTAGTGTCTTTTAGTGTCTATTACGAACACACCTGGAGCTTTGTATTCCCGGAAGTTGATGTTTGCCAGAACAAAGTGGATGATGGTTGGACAGTCTTTCTCTGTATCAGTATTCTTGGGTTTGAAAACATAGCACTCCTTCAGGCCCTCTCGATCAAACACATGTGGATCTATTTTTGGAAAAGGAAGGTTGTTCATTTTGGCCCATTTTTCAGCAAGCAAAATTTCCTAAAAAAGGAAGTAAAGTTTCAAAAGTTTACAAACAGCCATCACAGTTGGGGACTTTCTATTGAGGGTCACAGAGATAAACAAAGATAACCGATGATAGGAACAATCTTACAAACCATTGCTTTCTGACTGCAGCAGGAGTATTGGCATGAGTGAGGCGTTGCCAAATTGGGCTTGATATCTAAACACAAACAACTTTTGGTTTGAAGTGTAGGCTCTCCTTTAAAGATTGTTCAATCCCAAATCATTAAAGTGAAGTTCCACTCTTAAAAACAGGTCTCCAAATTAATTTTCTTATGCAACTCTGCTCCCCAGAGACTCATATCTGATGACTATTGATAAAAATACATTTTAAAAATGATTTTTTACCCCTGTAACTCTTGCAGGGCCAACCAAGGAGGAGCGAAATTGAATTCCACCTTCAGTATCATCATCAAAATTGTTTAAAAAGCCAGTTACATCTGTGTGAACCCAGTGAAAATAATGGGGTTGCACAACTGCCATTGAAGACATTATTTGAAGACAATGGGGTTGCACAGCTGTAATTCAGGGCCTAATTTGGCCCGCACAACCTTTATTACTAGTGATAATTCACAAAAAGGGGAGCGCTCATCTTGACTCTCAGATTTCAGGATGAGTTTGCTTTGCTGACGGCTAAAAAAAAACCCCACCCATAAAATTATTTTTAAGCTGGCCACCACTGCTATGGAAACCAAAGAGATTTAATCAACACTGATCCACAGAACGCTACATTTACAGAATTACTTCTCCAAGCAGAACTGCATTTTAAAATCATGCTACAGCCAGGATGGAAACCTGGAAAATAGTATGTTTTCTTCTCAGGACAGAGAAGTAAACAAAATCATTTGCAGACAATGACTCAAAAGCACATAATGTGGGCGAACTGTGGGAGGGTAGGGAAGATCAGTCTATATTTAACCATGTGTTATCTAAATATAATCAGAACAAAATAGGATTTTCCTTTGGGAAACCATTTTGAACACGCAAGAGACTAAAAGGCAGTGGGTATGAAATAATAATGGGTGAATATAGTCATTGTCTTCAGCTGGCAGATTTCACTATATTTTGGAGAGATAAGACATATTTCAAATCTATTGCAAACAAAGGGCAAATTCTGCACTGATATATGCTCTGCGAAAAGCAAGTCAATGGGAGCTGCACAAAGTGTACACATCAGTGCAGAATTTGGCTCAGTTCCTTTTTGGCAGAGTGAAAGTGGCTAGCAGAAAACTACCGTCTACAGATTATAGCTGTTTGCTAGGTAGAGGTATGTCAGTATTTCTGTCATACACTTCAGTGTTCAGAATTAATAGTTCAGTCTTTTAAGAGATCACTTTGAGACAAAACTTGATGCATTTCATTTTTGTTCTTTGCCAAGCTCCTAAATGGCTTTTAGAGTTTTTTGATGGAATTTATATGAAGGTCTAAAAGTGCAAGAAACCCTCTTGCTATTTTTAATAAATATCTTAATGTTGCTATATGCTACCTTCCAATCTGCATGCAAAATACCTACCAACAGACAGAAAGCTCAATGCACAAAGAGCAGTACAGGAGTAGGCACTTAAAACCTTGCACAGACAACACTATTGGGAAAACATAAAAATGAGAGAAAAGAAAAGATGTCTCAGTGGCAATGACCTTACAAGTCAATGATACTAGCTAATCAGGACAATGAACCCTATGCTCCCTTAATGACAAAAAATGGGTGAAATTTGCAAGTGAATTTTGCCTAATTAAGCATTAGACTTCAGGATTCAGTCAATTAAGTCGAGGTGGGGTGTTTATGCAGGGAAGATCTAAGCAGCATGCCAAGTACAGGTACAGTTTGAGTTTTTTTAACCTACTATTGTTACAAATAGTACCTAATTACTGTAGTTGAAAGAGATTAGAGAGAAGTTCTCTATTTTTTCAGTTTGTTTACTCTTTGCAATTGTCTATAGCTCATATTACTGTTTCCCAACATAGTCAATGGTCAGTGTTGTTTGAGTGGCTCTTATACATGGCAGCAGAGGAGAGAGAAATCTTTCTTTTTTAATTGACAATGTGGTTGTAAAACCACAACAATTTTCAGTTGTTCTCCAAAACAGGTGTATTCCCTGACACTACTTTAAGCTCACTTTTAACAACTGACTAGGATTTCAAACTGATGGTGTCCCTTTAAGTATCCCATGAAAATTTCCTTGCTGTTATTGTTTTTCTGTTGGCTTTAACATTCCTGGAAGACATAAACCTTTCTCTGGTCATTTAGAGCTGTCTGCATGTTTTGTCTGTCTGCTTAGATTGTAAAGGCAATGGATCAGGCATTCCACTCTTGCCACTTAAGAAATAATAAATGTCATTTAACCTTTATTTTGCAGTGAGTACTTTAGTTTAGGTTGGATGGGACTATTCTTAGAAAATCTTAGATGAAACACGGGGCTTACTTTGGCAATGGCACAACTGAAAAGTCTGCTTCACTTCCAACATATTGTATGATCAACTGTATTGCAGTGACTGAACAAAGATAAATCTCTACAAGACGATACAGAGACATTCCCTACGTCATATAATAGAGTTGCTCTATGAAGCTAGAGCATAGGAATTCTGGTTCATATTCCAGCTATTACATTCTTTCCAGCTGCTAATGTGTATGTGTTTAATCTTAAGAATTCTTACGTCAGCTACACAGCAACCACCTTCTTAAGTAGTTATAACATGCAATAGTTATAAACTTGGACCTTTCTCATGCTATTTCTAATACGATTGAGACTCTTGTGGTACAGTAAGATTGGCGTACACGTCTACCTCCCTTTTCCCAAACAAACTGTAGACTTCACCTAACTCCTACGTGAATACAAAGGACCTGACTCATGTATACTACAGCCACTTTACATCACTCTGGCAGAGTAAAAGGGCCTGAAAATGCATGTAGCAGTGTAAAGGAAGATCAGGGCCCAACAGTTCTCAAACTACTATAATTTTCACTCTGCAACCCCATCTATCAGGCTGGGTCACTTTCCTGAAAGTACTTTCTAACAGAATATCTGATTCACTTTTGAATGACACCATGCAATCCATTTTGCAGACTTCCTCTTACCTAATCATCATTATTGTAACAGATATAGCAATTTCCTCCAAACTCTTTGGAAAATCTTACTGTATTAAATCTATGTATCATTGTGGCTCAGGGATTGTATGTAATTCCATAGGGGAGAGTAATGACAGCCCCTTCCCTGGAGCTAAGAACTTGGGGGGAGGAAGGGGAGGAGGAATTAGGCAAATTTACTTATGTTGTAACACCTCCAGAGAGATACTACAGACAAAGGATTTTTGGATAAATAGTGTGAGTTTAAACTGAATCACAGCAGGACCATCTTTCTGGCCCAGCAAATAGAGAGGACACCAATCTGCTGGGAAGAGTTGGAAGCACTGACACTGACCAAAGCGCTTGTGGAGATAGGTGGTGATCTCTAGTTAGCTTATTAGCATACATGTAGGCTCTTTTATTGTTTATAATAAGTTTTCTCTGTAATGCCTTTACTGCAAGAATAAATGTGCTTGCTTAGAAAAAAACGGTGTGGTAACTTAAAATGGTGGGCATTTACGCTGCTTATAGCCTCTGAGAAGAAGGTAAAGCAGCCTGCTGAGGCAGTCTGACTTGCTAGGGAATTCACAGGGCAGGCCTGTGCAGGAACTGTGCAGCCTAGAAATACCCTGGTCAAGAGGGAGAAAGAAGCAGCTTTCCATCACGATGGTCAGGGATGCAACCCTATGCTCTGAGTGTCCCTAGCCTTGGTTTGCCATAAGCTGGGAGTGGACGACTGGGGATGGATCATTCAGTGATTGCCTGTTCCTGTTCTGTTCATTTCCTCTAAAGCATTTGGCACTCGGAAGACAGGATACTGGGGTAGATGGACCATTGGTCTGACCCAGTATGGCCATTCTTATGCCCAAGAGAGGTGACAGCTGGGGAGCCAGAAGCTGCTAGAGCGGGTGCTCCTGCTAAACCACAGAGGGGGATATAGGTGCAGTTGCCCTGAACTGTGACAACGATCATTATCTATTTTTGAAGAATAGCCCCATTAATCCTGCAGGCACAGTGCCAAATTTTCATCTCAGTTAAACCCATTCAATGCTACTGAATTCACATCAGTGCACTAGATTTTACATTACAAAGGACAGGGACCCATGTTGGTGCAGTGTCAAGCATATGCTTGGTGCTCAATATATAACAACATTATATTAATGATTAATTAATAACATAATAAATGGAAATGACTTCCTCTTAGAGCTGGAGAAATTGTTAACTTTCGGATTATAAAGAAAACCTTCTTTCTGGCAGGGAGTTTCTGAAGAAGTCATAATGTCTGATCCACTTCTCAGCCTTTCCATTGAATTCACTGAGAGTCAGACCAGGTCCTCCGTGTCTAAACTAATGACAGAGAAATTCATTTGGTTTGAAAATCTCTTGTCTGGAAAGAAGTCAGAATGGAAAAAGGAAAGAGTGTTCTAAATCTCTATCACACGGTGCTGGATACTTTAAAAAACAACAACCGGAACTGCTCTGATGAAAAATCTCCAAGCCACGACAATTGGACTCCTAAAATTTCTAACCATTTCTTCATTTAAAGCCTTTGTGGCCAGTTACTGATCTGTAATCATATTTTTACATTTAGGGTAAAATGTTCAAAAGCGCTTAAGTGACTTCGGAGCCTAAGTCTCAATTTCAAAAGTGACTCAGGCACTGTCAGAGTCTAAATCTCATTGAAAGTTAATAATCCATAGCAGGATTTAGGTGTGGCAATCCAGTGGAATCCTCAGCCCCAAGTTAGGCACCTCTACTCCCTGTACAGTGCATGGGGAGAGCTAGGTGCCTCAGAGAGGGATTCACAGTAGTTAGCATGCTGAAAGGGGGAGCCATATAAGGTAGCCCATCGGAAATGCTGAGGAGAGGGGAGTGGCCTAGGCCCCACCCCTTAGAGGTAATTAAGCAACTAACTCCAGGCTGGATGAAGATGCCTATCTCCACTCGGCCTTCACAGCTGTAAACCTTCTCCTAGAGCAAGGCACCTAAACCCTTTCTCACAAAAAACAAGAGAGGGACAGGCAACGCCCTGGGCGCTCATCCTGGGATGTGGGAGATCTGGGTTCAAGTCCCTGCTCCAAATCAAGCAGAGTGGGGATTTGAAGTCTCCCACATCCCAGGTGAGAGCCCTTACCACTGGGCAACTGAGCTGGTACCTACGTACGTATGTGCACACGCACACTACCCTCCAGCCTCCTCAACCAGCTGCCCCTCCCGCCACCTCCTGATCAGTCAGCCTTGGCTTTCTTTTGTGCAAAGTCTGATCGAGTGGGTATACTCTGAACAGGCCAACTGGACTTAATCCCTGCTGTAGACAGCACTAGATCAACAGAAGAGTTCATCTGTCGACCTGTCTGCTGCCTCTTGGGAAAGTGAATTACCTTTGTGGATAGGAAAACTTCTCTTGTCAGCATTGGTAGTGTCTACACTGAAGCGCTACAGCTGTGCTACTACAGCATTTCAAGTGTAGACAAGCCCTTAGGAGGCTAGGGAATTTAGGTGGTAGCTGAATGGAGATTTTGAGGATCTCAATATCACATAAATATCAGAACCAGCCTCTTGGTGCATCCAGCCCTAAGTATGTCAGTCACGTCTGAAAATAAGACAGGTACTTCTGAAAACATTACCGCTATTAACTATTTATTTATAACAACAACCTAGTAGTATTTAAACTAAGGTTAAGTTATGTTTACACTGCGCCACAGTGCAGACTATAGGGGTGTGAACTGCACAGCATGCACCAAAGTACTGCGATCTAATTGTCCCGTGTGGACATTGCTGTCATGAAGTAAAAAGTATCTAGGTCACGTTAGCACACTCCTGTTTGAAAGAGACTGCGTTAATGTGAACTAGGAATCTTTTTGTTTGCACCAGCTGCATCCATACATGGCAGTAAGACTGCAACACTTTGGTGTGCTCTGCAATTCACATCCCCATAGCCCACACTGTGGTTCAGTGTACACAAACCCTAAGTGTACTGATACACATTCCATAGATGATCTAATGAGTAGCTTATTATAGATAACAAAGGAGAAGATTTTTCACTTCTTACATTAAGAATTTATCCTTTTGTATTTTGTTTAACATGAGATACACATGACATCAAAAGAAGACTGAAGTAGCAGTTCAGATTTCTGGATGTTTGCTTATTGTAATTCTACTGTATTATGGAACTTCCATATGGTATTTTCTTCTATATTTGTGTCGTATTGTTTTATTTTTATTATTATTAAATGTAAATAACTTATTTGCTTAATATTGATTTTTTTACAAGAGGAGACAACAGATCATGGCATGTAGTTTCAAAAAAAGATTTAAGGGACAAATTCTGCATGTCATTGTGCCTGCAAGGTTTCCAAAAAAATCAGGTGAGGAATTATGTCAAGTGACATTTTGTTGAGGGTCAAATCCCACTGACTTCCTCTTGGTAGTAGTCTCTTCTATTTCAGCGGAATTAATCTCCTGAGTAAAGTGAACAGAATTGGGGGCTGAGTAGAAAACTGTTGACATGAAAGTCAATTACTGCAGAGCTGGAGCCATGATGGCACCAAAGTAAGACTTTTTTAAAAAAGCCCTGTGAATGGAAGGGCCTGGAAGCCACACAAGAATGGAGTTTGCCACCAGCATGATGGGAGGATAAAAAGTATGGCCCAGCTTCTCAAAGATATGTAGGTGCATAATTTCCATTGAAATCAACTGGAGTTAGATGCCTAAATATCTTTGAGAATCTGGGCCTAACCACCTTAAAAATTATAACACAAACTGAAGGAATGGTCTGGTTTACTTACTTTGAAAGGAGGACTGGAGTCACTTGGCCTTGCAGAGAAATCAAAGGAGATTATGAGATCAACACCTCGCTGAGGTCTTAAGATAAGGGGGTATGGCAGGTTAAAGGTGAGCCCACTGTCCACTACATGAATCTTTTTACTCTTCACATCTAGTGGCTCATATATCCTCTCAAACTCATCAGGATCTAGGCAAAACAAAACAAAAAACAAATCCAAAAATCCCCAACAGTTAGTAATTGAATTGGTAAAGTACCCTTCTAAAGGATTGTAGAATCCCTCAGAGCTATGGATGACAATTGCATTAAGTAACTTAACTAAATGTAAGCCTAATGTGATCTACTATAAAGTAAGAAGTCTTAACAAAAAATGTGTGTGTGTATTAAAAATAATCACAATAAGATGACTTCCAAAGTGACAGGAATTAGCCCCCCTAGGAACCCAAAGCAAATGGTTATCCAAATCAGATATCTGACTGCAAAATCATAAATGCTCACTGTATGTCCTTCGGTGCCAATCTCACAACCAAACACTGTGTCGACATCCTTTCAAGGTTCAAGTGTCTGAAATTAGACTTTAGGCATGAATTAACACATTACAGTGTTGCTTGTCACATTGGTCAGAACCATAATATTGGTTTACAGAAAAAGTTGTCAAGTTAGAGTCCACAGGCCCAAAAGCATGCAGTGTTCCCTCCCTGATCTCAAAGCTCAATCTGTGTGTGGGAGGAGTTCGGGGGGGAAGAGAGGGAGATTTCTCCATGTCCATTTGCACCAACCCAGTCTCTGGATACTGCTAAACAATCCCTGTAGAGGTTGAATATTTTCTCCTAGGTCTTAAAGATATTTCTGAAAAATGATTTTTTTCCTTCATAATGTTCCTGATTGTACCACGTAACAGGACTTTTAATCATAAACCGCGGTTTGCTCCCAAAGTTAAGTTAAAGATGCTTGAAATTTTAATTTAAACAGCGATGTCTGCAGAGGGCACTGTAGTCCAAGGAATGATGAACGCTATGGCACCTGAGCGCTCAGATTATTTGTTTCTGTTGTCTCTCCCTCTAATACCTACCAATCCAGGGTAGCGTCCAGGTGCGGATGACCTGTGCTATACAGGAAGGCAGACTAGATGATCTAGTAGTCCCTTCTGGCCTTAAACTCTATGCCTCTGAGTTAAACAATCATGCATGCCCTACACAGATGACAGAGTAAATAGTCACCCTTGCAAAGGTATTTTCATGTGAGGAAAAATGAATGGGAAATGATTCTTACTCTAGTTCCTAAAAACCAGGTTGCCCCTTGCACTTCAGGTTCCATGAAGAAAATTTTGCCCATTAAACCTCAAATCAAGTACTTAGATTCTTTTCTCTTTACCCAAGTACAGATTCATCAAATGATGCACCAATTTCCTATTTTGTACCTGAATTTCTCAAGGGAAATCTCCCTCAGAGCAATATGTGACTGAGATGCAGAACTACTATTGAGACCTAACCAGACATCAGAACAATATTTCTCTATGCCTTATTAAAAAGCTACTCTTAACTTAAGTTACAGGCAAATAAATTTGGTTACATTATATGTTAATAACACCTTACATTACTGGAAGTGTAAAAACACAAAGATTTACTTTGTATGTATTTACATTTCTCTCAGCCTGGAAAATAAAAGTCAATTGTATCTGTTTTTCTTTTGTTTATACTGCAGCCAATTTACCTTTCCAGTTCTTACTGATATGATGATTGTGTTTCATTTGTGTTTGTTTTTTTATGAACAATTTGCTTTCACTAGAATTTTTTAAAAAAATTAAATCATTTCATCAATTTATAAAAGCTTTCTTTATTTAAATTTATGAAATTTTAATATGGGACCAAAATAAAGTTCTTGTTGAGAGGTGCAACAATGGCTCTTCCCCCAAAATGGTTTAGTTAGTTTAGTCTTCTTTTTCAATTTATCACTGCTCCAAAATGCTAAGCAGAACAACACATTTGATTTCACAGATGATACTAGGGTCTCCCATCTCCAGGATGAGAATAAATCAGGGGTGACACCACTTGTACTAACACTTGTTCTGTATTGTATTGAATAGCACTAATGGTGCTATTGTTTATATCTCCATCTATATCAGCAAAAGTAACAGCTGATAATGTTAAAATTGCTTCCTAATCTGCATCAACAATACAGGGAAAGAAGAAGGAGAGAATATGATCTCTGGTGCCAGGCAGGAGGAGCTGCCCTTTGTACCCCAGTACTGCACTCCCCCTAAGGGCTGGGTTAGGAACTGTTGGTTCATCTTGGGTTTGTAGGTTAAAGCAAGGGTGCCCAGGGTAACTGCTCTGTGCATTTCTGGCAGCCCTTGTAAGATATCCCGTGTTTTTCATCAGACTCTGAATGTTTATGGGAACTCCCCAAAGGTTAGCACCTGAAGGGCCTAATGCTTGGAACACCTATAGCACTTGCCCCCAAATGTGTGGCATACCCAGCATGCTACCAAACAGATTCGGAGAGTTTAAGTTCAGAAGGGACCATCAGATCATGTAGTCTGACCTCCTATATACCATAGGCCATTACATTTCACCAACCTACCCCTGTACTGAGCCCAAACTAGGGGATTTATGTAGCACAGCACTCACAGTGACTCCATGAATTGGAGTCAATTACAGTATGTTATATGGATTTTTTGCCTCTCTCTCTAAAGCATCAGCATTGGCCACTGTTGCAGACAGGGTGCCAGGTGAGAAAGATCATGGGATTACTCAGTTATGGCTGGTCCAGGTTTTCTTTTTAAAAAAAGATACTAGTTTATATTCCTAGGAATTCTGCAAACTAGTCTCTGTGAGATGTAGGATAAAAATGGAAGGATTTATTACATGTGAATTCATCAAAGAAAGATGCACCTCTCCTAAGATACTTTCTTATCAGGTGAAATCTTTTTTAACAGTAAAACATAAAGAACAGTCATAAATTAATAGAATCTGTGTGTGACCAGCACAGAGTGACTATCCGATATACAAGAATTTGATTTAGAAGAAAGAATGTTTCAAGTATAGCTTATAAAACATGTTCTCATTTTTTATTTCCAGATGCTCCTTGTCATGGCAAGCAATTTAAAGGAAAGTGAGGGAGTTGAAAAGGGCATTCACAACTGACATGCATCTACCATAAAATAGTTTCCATAAGTATTGAAATAAGGAAGCAAAGCATATGAGATAATTTTTCCCCATTGTTATTCAGTCGGAATTTTCTCAAGAGTGGTTTAAAGGGTGTTGGAATGTCAAAGACACAGAAATAGATCAACAGTGAGTCTATATATTAATTATTCAGGAGTTTTCAAGTAGATTTGAGGTTATTTCTTAAAAACAAAAAAAATTGTGGGCAAAAGTTAGATGGGAATTCTACTTAAAATAAAAGTAGACAGCTCGGGCCACACAGAAGGACTGGATTCAATAAAACTCCATCCAGCTGAGGAAGCATATGTTTAAAAAATATATACAGATTAGATGCAGAAGTCAGTCTGGAGTTTTAATTGAATCAAAGCTCAAAGATTTTCAACAGCTGAAATTCTTAATGGAAAAATAAAAAGTGTCAGTGTGAGGACTTCCTGCTCCAAAGGATTAGAGCCAAACATTGGCCTGTTTGAAGTCAGTGGCAATAGTCCCAGGGATTGCCTGCAATAAGACTAGGATCTAGATCTGCAAAAACTGTTTGTTCTGAACAAGTAGCAGTTCCATGACCAGGTGTGAGCAGGGGTGTGTCCCCACCTAGCAGTTGAGAGTCTGTGGTGACAGTCTTACCTAATGGTAGGAGATCAGGGAACCTGAGCCCAACCACATCACTGGGTTCCAACTCTAAGACCCTCATAAAGAAGGCTTCTGCTACTTGCGGTCCAACTAACACACTCTCCTGGGTCTCTTCCTACTGCTCTGTCCTTCCTCAGGGTACGTTGTGGCTTGTGGTTGTCCCTTGCAACCCGACCCATGGGCCTCTGCAGGCGGGGGAGTCTCAGCTCCGTGCAGCAGTCCTCCTCCTGAGGATGCTCTCCTGGCATAACCCCCCCTAATAAATCTATCAAATTTAACTGGGAAGAGAACTCCACAGTTTGGTTCACTTTCCCTAGGGAGATCTGTCTCTCTCCACCCACCACCCTGCTGTGCTGAGGAGACTCCCTTTTAAGCCTCTTCTCCAACCGGAGCATGCCCAGTATGCCTGCTGGGGCAGGGCTCCTCAGGCCCAAAGTTGTTCTTGCTCCCCTGTCTCTCCAGGTCATCAAGCTGAGTGGACTTTTGGCCTGCCTGGGAAAAGTGTCCCAAAGAGTGGAGCTCTCTTCCCGGTTAAATTTGATGATTTGATTGAGCACAATACCACACAGACCACCTGTCCTCAGCTCTGCTTACTCTCCTGTCTTGCCAGTCACTCCCCACTAAAGCTTACCTAGAAACAACTGCACAACGTAGCATTTGCAATCCTGCAAAGGGAAGCTAAAGAATGTTGCCTGGCTGTTCTCCCAACCCCACCACTCTTCTGGGCTTATCAGGCCGATTTGGCTGGTATTTAACAACATAACCCCTGCATGCCATACAAGGGCGGGGAGGGAGGCAGAGAATCATATGATCCTCTCTTGAAAATCCCTTGTGATCTAATGTGATTATGGTGTCTTATGATGTATAGGGCTTTTATTCATGTTTATATGTATTTTATGATCATTGTGTATGTATAATACACTGCCCTGGATTCATGCATGTGGTCATGTCTCCTTCTAGTGGATGGTCCCATCTCCTGTATTTCCTTCTGCCAGCTGCTACTTTTAGCTGAAGCATTAGATGCCTGTACTTTCAATGGTGCAGGTCTTGAGTTCAATGCCCACTGATGACTTCAAGTATGCCTAAGTGCAGCGCTGATTTTTTACATATAAAGTCATAGTATAAGTCTGTGAAGTGATCAATGTGAAAAGCACTATACAAATGTCAGCTCTGTTTTTTAAGTTGCCTTTATTTCTGGTCTGTTTAATGTTCCTATTAATAAACAAAAAGAAAACATATTGCTAATTCTGGTCAAATTATATTATTTTTAAAACCATGGATAATAGCAACATGCATAAAGGACATGAAAAATCATGTAATATTTTGAATTTATTTCAAAGGTTCCTTTGAAGCCACTTCTTTAGACTCCCAGGCTCTTGTACAAATATAGATAAATCCATCAGTAGTATCAAATGTACACTACTCAATAATCCATCTTAGTACAGCCACTCTGTTCCTAACCTCTGAGGGCCCAGTTCTATTGATAGTTACTGTTGAACAAAGTGTAGGCGTTACTCATAATCATAAGCACTATGCTTGGTAGCTTGCAAGACTGGATTCTAATCTTGTAATTTGAGCAAATACTTAGAAATGCAAAAAAAAAATAAAGTCAACAGCAAAAAACTATTAGAACATGGCCAGGGAAACTCCAAATGACCCGTAGTCAAAAATTTCTCTCAAGTGGAGGCGGATCTCTGTCTATCTGAGGTTCAAATTTCAATCCAAATGAAAATCCTAGAGGTTGAGGGTTTGATTTTACATACTATGTGCCTTAAATATACTACATTTAATCAAAAGTTATTTTTCCACAGATCTACTAAGCACTTTCCTGCCTGTTTTAGGCACTATAAATATTAAGATTACCCAGTTGTAAACACCTCTGAGCTGAAAAATAATATTTAGAAAGTGGAGCACAGACGGAAATTACTATAGAGCTGTTCAAAAGGATAGTTACATTAACAAATACACATTAGAGAGTCACTTTGTTACTTGATCTTTTAAATGACATCTGGTATTTACAATTCCATAATGACAAATTCAAACTTCCCCCTCCTGCACACACATGGACTAGATATGAAGACATGTGGATGTGCCCAAAGGATCAATCATGCTGAGGTAGGGATTTTAATGAGGAGAAAGGTGTGTCTTAGTGGACTAGCAGAGTAAGGGTGTTCCACACTGAGGATAGTGTGGAGGAAACACCCAGATAGCTGGGAGAGAAGCAGAAAAACAGAGCAGCAAGACTGGAGGCAGAGGCTGATACTTTGAGATCTACAGATGAAAAATGCTATATAAGAACTAACTGTTATTGTTGCTGATCTACTATGAAAAATTCAATGAGTAGGGAAGGAACAGGATTTGTAGACGGGATTGAAGAGGGAGCATTAAGGAAAGAAAATGATGTTGATTGGCAAGACTCATTTCTGCCCCATGCTAATCAGAGAAGATGAAAAGAGCGTGATGGGATATTCCACATAGTCTTTTGTGAGTATTTCAAGAAAGCCAGGAAGTAGCCATGTACAAAAAGCACTTTAGTCAACTCTACCAAGGAAAGAGCAACTCCTCCCCACCCTACAAGTAAGTATGTTGTTCTACCAATTCTGACAGGAAGCCTTAGGGTGGGCATCATACAGAACCAACACATTGCACTTCTATGGAGTCAGTCCTGATTCTGCCAGGAGGCCTCGACTTGCCTCATATAGGAGTAACACATTGCGCTTCACAGCACCAGTCATACAAGGACCTCAACGTGCTTGTAACTATTCAAGATTGCCCCTGTGCAAATATGCTCTTGCTTTCAGAAGTGTTCAGCTGTAAGCATTCCAGTCTAATGACATGTTCCCACAATTGTAGCTCACAATTTATTCTTTCACTGACAGAAATGCAGTGCACAGATATTTTGTGAACTAACCTGCGACTGCCGTGTCCATTTCATCCTCCTCCACAGATTCCTGAGTACCCAGGCCTGCTAGAGGGGAGAGTGGGTACCATGTGTTGAGGTTCAAGCCCAGCATAAAGTTGTGTACTTTCCCAGCACGCCCTTCTCTGGTGTTGAAAAGGGAACTATCTCCCACCAAGGCCATCAGCATGCGCTGGACCCAGCTTTCTTGACTGCTACTTTGAAGTTCTTTTTCAGCCTCAAGATTTTCAGAGCCTGTGTGTAAAAAAAATGACCAGCAGTGAAACAGTTAACATGAAAAGTGTCAAAATGAGGCTTCAGCTTCAACACCCTACTGAAGCGAAAGGGAGCCTTCACATCTCTCCCAAGACCAAACCATGCCCTGCTCTCATGCACAGCTCAAGTAAATGGAGTTTGTGAAGAGCATTTAAGAGGAGCTGGAGGAATTCTCACTCCTCAACTGTAGAGCATCCATCTAACTTCTTTGCTGCTTCTATAATAGCATGACTGTGGAGATGACAGGGTTCCTGCCACTGTGGGATGGGTGTGGATCCATGTAATAGCACATTCACTGGCCTCTCCAGTGCACACTCCCCCCCCCCCCCCCCGCACCATGCCAGGCTCCTGTGTTCCAGGAAGATTCCTGCTGTATGGCCTAGGCCCTGCTAGGTGGAACCACGGTGGTGGTGCTGCATTTAGGGCCCCATGTGCTGGTGAAGGGGGATCAGCAGCATTTCACCTGTGTGAAAACTCAGGGCTGTATCTGTTCACACTCAGAGCTGTATCTTCATAGCCATAAGGAATATATAGATATACATAAGGATGTAGATATTGAGCTAAATCTTAAATTCTACAAATCTGCATAACAGAGAAACCTGAGCATTTAATAATTAAGTTACAAAAGTTTTTCTATGGATCTTGCTTTATTAAAAAATTATTGAATATCTAAATTTTGGGTCAAGATTGTTCTAATAACATCGCCCAAGTAAACTAAAAATGCAATCAAAAGCATAGCACCTACATTAAAGTAACCTGATTTCCAAAAGTGATGAGCATCCATAGCTTCCATTCAAACCTGCAAAGGATCTTACTGCCTGTGGGGCATGACCTTGAGCTCTCCGAACTCCCACCAACTTCTGTAGGTGTTTTGAGTGTTCAAGGAATTTAGCATCAGGTCCGATGTTCCAAGTGTAGCATTCTCATTTTTCTCTTTAATCCACGGTTCACAATGAGCTGTTTTTCATTTAAATAGGGGCAGAGCAAGTGTCAAAGGAGTAGGAAGTCTGATCTGCAGGTCCTACTGCAGACTTATCCTGTGGAAGTGTGAGAATTATGGCAAGCCCCAGTGTTTACTGTCACAAATCAAGCTGTGTAAACCGCATACAGACATACAAGGCCGTAAATAATGATTGTTTTCTTTATGTTGGACACTATGACACTGAAGCAGGATATCTGCAAATAAATACTGAAATTGGTATCTCTCCCTCCCCATTATTTCAAGTCAAAGGAGAAGTGATGAGCTTCTTATTTGACTAGACCTCATTTTCAAAGGTTTTGTTTTCCTCCTGCCAGTGCTGGCACCATCATTAAAACCTAAAACAGTGCCTGTTAGTTTTGGGTGTCTCTATTTCTTCTACAAGAATCAACATCACCACTAACAACTATGAGTTGGTGCGTGAAAGAATAAGGGATTTTAACATAAGAACAGCCATACTGGGTCAGACCAAAGGTCCACCTGGCCCAGTATCCTGTTTTCCAACAGTGGCCAATGCCAGGTGCTTCAGAGGGAATGAACAGAACAGGTAATCATCAAGAGATCCATCCCCTGTCGCCCATTCCCAGTTGAAAACATTTTCATATATAAAAATCAAGATAAACTATTTGGGCAAGATGGAAATAATGGTTAAAATTTCAAAAGTGCTTAAGTGACTTAGGATCCTAAATCCCATTTCCAAAAGTGACATATGCACTTAGAAGCCTGAGCCCCACTGCCTTTCAATTAGAATTATGCTCCTAAGTCTCTAAGTCACTTTTTCCAAAACACCAAAGTTCAATTTCCATATTTTACCCAATATGGTGGCCTTAGGTCCAGAATGGCAATACTGATGTCACTCACACAGGTATCTGGAACCACCGGAAATGCTAATCAAAGATAGTAGACTCAGACTGAGCCACACTCAGCTGAACTTTAGATTAAGGGCCCTTTGAAATCAACAGGCATCTCTAGCTTACTGGGCTGATGACCAAGTCACAGACACTGGTGAACTTGCTAGCTCATCTACTTCAGTTTGCTGGGAAATACGGCTTGATGAGGTTACTGGCTCAACAACTCATGTTCTAGGCTTATGTCAAGATGTGGGCTTCTGTGAGGATCATTAGAGCAGCACTGCTGGCTTTCTGAGCTGATGTTAAGGCACAAGTCTCTGAGTGCTCATTTGTTTACCAGCTTGAACAGTCTGGGCTGATATGAAGAGAAAAGCCTCTGTCAGGTCTCTTGCTCAGGTCTCTTGGCCTTACTAAGCTAAAGCCAAGGCATATACTTTTTTAAGGTTGCTGGCTCAAGCAGTAGAATTTTACCATTGGCATCAATGGGATCTACAAAGGACAATATTCATGGGTAAGTCAAACAGGATTTGGCCCATTTGGGGTGGGTATGTACATGACTGATAGCAACAAAGGTCCCTAAGTTGTCTTTTGCCATCACAATCACCTTGCTTTAGCTAGGCAAATCAACAGTATATATAGAAAAAGTGCAACAGGTATAGTAAGTAAAACATGCCCTGGACCATGGGGTTTTCCTTACCTTTTGGTCCCTGTGATTCATCTTCACTGTCCGAACTATCATTGCTCACAAGATGTTTTAGCCTAATATTTTCTGTTGAAAAAAATATACAATATCTTAAATTGTTAGATCTAAGCTTACTAGGAGATCAGAAAAGTGTCAAGGTGTATCATTGTATAGTACTTGTGATAGATAGGAAATGAAAACTAAGCAAGACAGCTGTAGGGACTCAAATAACATTTGGACACAACTTTGAAGAATCTATAGTGAGAGATCCTGGTTTGGAATTGTTGCAAAGTTCAGGATGGGTTTGCCCTTCTTCACAGGAATTCAGCATTATCCAACGGAATTCTCCTTTCAAGGCAGAAAATCCTCTGAAGAACAGGTGGCATTTTAAGGTGCAGTCCAGACATAAGCATGGGCAATGCACACTAACATCCATTGTGAATTACAACTACTTATACCAGGGTTGATTTCCCCAAGATTGTAAGCAAAATAACAAAACAAATGACTGTTTTGCAAGCCCACAAAATAAAACTACTTTAATAGAAAATAAGCCTGACAACAAAGCCATATATTCTCCTCCGAATGTATGCCTTTAATTTGCGGTAATGGGAATGCCATGTGCATATCAAGTACCCCTCTACATTCTGGGAAATAAAAGAAAACAAGACAATTACATAACTTTAATACAAATCTATTTCATAGGGAAAAACAAAAAAACAGCAGTTAGGCCAAAGCAATTAACTTCAGTGGAGGAACAGGCATTTTACATTTCACATCATTAATCAACAGAATGAACACAAGGTACCTATTTGGCAAAAATCTATTTTCCATCAGGATAAGATCATTGTATCCAAAATAATCAAACTCAGCCTGAAACTGTAAATTACTTGGTGTTTTTCCAAAACCATAAAAGAATATTAAAAAAAAGGTAAAGGGTTTTTGAGAGCTGTGCAATTAAAGCAGCAATACATTCCACAGTCAGATCAAATAGCTCATAAAGGAGATTAATTTACGTGAAAACTATTTTCTAGTCAGCAAACTCTGTTTTCTTTAATAATTTCTGCTACTACATTTAAAGTAAACAACTATGTTTAAAATAATCGAGGAAAGCCTTTCTTGAAACAAATGGATTTTCAATTGTCATTGTCTTTAGTTATTTGACTTCAGCTGAATTATAAGAAAATCATTTTATAAACAGCCTAGTGTTGGAAAATCATCTTCAGCTGATACTGTGGGCAGTGTGTGTTGGAAGAAACAAGCTCACCAAGCTCCCACAATTCTGACTTCATCTGTTTCGGTGTAAAGATTTAAATTGGGATTTTCAAAGTAGGCACCCAACTGCTACTGAAGCTTTGGGAATTTGGTGCCTAACTCCTTTAGGGTCCTTTAAAAATTCCAGCCTTCCTCCCCAAGATAATTTATGATGTAAATAGTCTATACTAGAAATGTGAAAACAAGTAATAAGTAACTGAAGCCGAAAGAGGACTGTCTTCTCATAATTGTTTTGAATAGAATGGAATAAACCAATTGCCTCTGGCTAAAGAAAATCATCCATGTTATTTATGAAATAAACCAAATTTTTGTCATGGCAGGACAGAGTTCATCTTGGGTAGAAAATTCTTTGTTTGGGATTGTCATTTATACCAAGTATATTATCCAATCAAGGATAAGACCAACTAAAACATTAGGCAAGTAGCAACATGCATTTCCAATACTTCTGCTAGCTCAAAACAGAAAGCTTGATTGAGAGAGATTCAGGTTAACAAAAGGCATGTGGAAATTAAATTTAAATGTGCTATACATATAACGCTATGTTGATTGTTTATGAGGACTAGTCCTTGCAGGATTAGATATTACACTGTAGAAATCTATACAGACACACAAGAGTTTCTGTCATTACATATTTTCTCCTTAGATATTTTCACTCTTGAAAACTAAATAGCTACTCAGACACTACCTAAACTATTGTCAATGCTAACAGTATGCAACAAAGACAAATGTTACAAATTCTTGGATGATGACAAAGAATATCTGACAAGACAAAAATTAACAACCGAAAAAAGCAACTATTAAAAGCCACAAATACAGATTTTGAATGTCAAAGATGTATTTTTTTAAGAAAAAGATATGAGAAATAGCTTATTTAATTCTCATGTTCAGTGTGGCTTATAGGTTTTGGGTAAAGTCCTGGTTCCAGTGAACTCAGCTGAAGTTTTGTCATTGACTTTAATGGGCCAGGATTCCATCACATAAGTTTTATAGTTTTGCCACTATAATATATTCAGGTTTCATCACCCTTTCCATGGTAAACTCTCACTTTGAGGTATTTTGTATTTGTCTGTAAAAATTCTCACAAACAGGAAGCATCTCAAACCAAGAGCAAGGATTGTTTTAATGAAAAAAGTTGAAAAATATATTTGGAAGTATAAAAAATAGATATTATTTTTAAGGATTTTTTTCCAGAGAAAAGATCTCTTTAAAAATTCAAAGTGATGCCCTGTTCTAGTAAAGCAATTAAGTACAGGCATAACTTTAAACACATAAGTAAACTTAGTGATTTTTATAGGGCTACTCGTGCTTAAACTTAAGTATCTGCTGAAGTGTTTTGCTGACTAATGCCTAAATTCCTATGTTTCAGTACCTCAAAAATTAACTCAGATTATTTAATTAACCAGATTATTTTTTCTTTATGCAGTGAGTTTTGTTGTTCATGAACTATACCTGGCAGAAAGCCCTGTAAGCTGAATTCTTCTATTTGCCACAAGACAGGAGCAGCATGACAAAGCTAGCTTCCCCATATTGTCCCAGCAATAGTCTCAACTACTAGACAGAAGGGATAGTGGAGTTTTTATGCACAGCCAACCCTCATCCACTCAACTCAGGCTATGGACACGGGTGCTGACTATTCTGGTTTATTTAGTGGTTAAAATGCATTTCATGAGCACCTATCCACAGTCTCTGGACACAGTACAGGAGTAAAAATCATTCCAATATCAAAAGCTTTTAGAAAACCCCAACCTATCATTTTTGAAAGATGTACCTTACCACAACCATCAAGCTCCAACATTCTCCTCCCTACAATGATGTGGACACTTGTCCAGTAGAAAGTGAACGGAGACCACTAAACTAGTTTCACAGAAACTAAACTATCATCAGATGGTAAGAATTTAGGGCACCCTGGAATGGAATGGAACTGGCAACCAAAAGGTGAAAAGCTGCATTATCCCTTTATCAATTACATGAGCAGTCCCATCCTCAAAAGACATTTATTATAATTGCAGGTAGCCATGAGGGCAGGTTCGCAGCCTGTTGGCTCCTGAAGCTGACCACATCAATCAGAAAAAGCACTTTGGTGTATGTATATTTAACCATCATGTTTTTAAAAAAATTTGTTTAAAGAATATTTATGTGCAAGACCTCTCCTCTTCCAATAGCTCTGACACAGGTCAAGTATGGTGCCTATTCAGACTACAAATAAATAAAAGTGGGGAAAGTATTGAAAAAGTAAGCCAATACTAATTCTCTTCCCCTGCCCTCCAAGTCTTTTGCTGGTGTCTATCAATGTAAATTGGTGAAAGGAAATTTCCCTGGCTTTTGACATGCAAGAAAAGCTTAACATAGTGTCGTACACCCACACACAGATCTAGAGTGATAGTGATGTTTGAGTTATTAATTCACTAAAATGTTAATACCAGTTGCTGGCTAATAGATTTGTTTTTGTTACATTACCTAATTCTTCCTCCATGGTGGGACCTTTATTATGAGAATGGGAAACTCCAAGTACTCTGTTAAATAATATAGAAAATGCACTGCCCCAGACGCCTGAAATGGGAAGAAAATGACTAAATCAATGGAAACTTGCAGAACAAAACATATATGAAATTATTTAAATAGCTAATTCTACTTTGAGAATGCATTGGAATAACACAAACAATGAGATTTTGGGACAGATTAGATCCTAAACGCAGATGTGCACCACATCATGAAATTCCCATCACTGAATATGGAACCATTCTTGTGGGTTCCCACCAGACTATTAAGATATGACTTTTCATATAGAGGTTATTCTTGTGTCAGACTGTTTCTGATTACAGAAAGACAAATTTAAAAGCACTGGAGAGAAGAGAATTGAAATGTCAGTTTTGTTTTATTTATTTATTTTAATCATTCACTTACCCATGAAGAAGTGCAGGGGGTTTTCTTCATGTTTTTTCACCACTGTTCCCATAAAAAATTTACTTCCAAACAAATCAGGAGGCATAAATGTGCCATACTTCGCCATACCAATCTCATATGGACTGAATTCCACCCAATCTGCATGCATTACATAAAAAAATTAGCTCACATTTTTCCTCTAGACATAAATGCAGCATGAACAAAAACAATTCATCTGTAACATACACAAATGACTGGCACCTTTCTCCAAGAGGAAAGAAAAGCATACAAGGAAATATACTTGATGGTAAATTGTTCCCTGTTCATCTGCTATAAAATGCCGGAGATATATTTAAATTGAAAGTGTTTCTCCAGGACACATGTAATCTGGGTATGCCACTAGGTCAAGAACCCCTGCAAATGTCTTCCAAGTTATGCAGAAGTCAAAACTCCCTTGGACTTCAATGGGAGTTTTGATCCTGAAGTTGAGCTGGAAACCTCACCCATTCCTACCATAACAAAATTTGTTGAAAAAATTAGGCAGGCAGTGGCGGGGAGAGAGATAGTGAAACACACTATACAACATCTGGGTTCCATCTCATGCATCAATGTGAATCACCAACACAAATCCCAACAGTGGCAGCGATCCTCAGAGATCGCTGGATATACAAAATTATGAGTTTCTCTCCATTATGAGTATACTGAAAATGTGAAGTATGGCGACGTGTAGAACAGATGAAATTGTTTTAATTTGCACAAAGCTTTGAAGAGACTCCAGAAGCAAAATCTGGATTTCACCAGAGACTAAGACTTATAGTGAAGTACAATTAGAACAGACAGGGTTGGGAGCCAGTTAAAAAGTTTACTAACAACAGAGGATGCAAAAACATTGTAACTATAATACAATTTATTTTTTCTTTATAAAGTTTACATATACAAGGAGACTGTACATTTTGTGGCTTGTACAACACTTAATAAATGCATGGGGTAAAAATTTCAAAAGCACCTGAGTGACTTAGGAGCTTAAGTTCCATTTTCAAAAGTGACCTACACTATTCAAAATCTAAATCCCATT